TTAGAGCAAACTGTGTTTTCCCAAAGCCTAGAAAATACATCTCTAGAACAGCCAGCTGTGTAATCAGCTACAGGACATGAAATTTTCTGAAAGGAGGCAGATCCCAAAAGCCTGCATATATGGGATAATTGTAAGGGTTTTCAGTTTGACTCAGCAGGGTAAGCTCCCACAGAGATATTTTTGTGCGTGTGGGATTCTTCAGGAGTACAGTATGCTACATCCCCTGCAGTAATATTGATCCATGATTCCTCTGACACAGGATCACTACATTTTTGAGACGTATGTGCTCATGCTATAATATGTCCACATTGATTTCAGTGTAGGCCAGAATTGGTCCAGTAAAACTAATCTACATAATTACAGCAGGCATCTCAGGGATACATAAAGTGAGGATATTCAGGTCAATGGTGCTTTCCCAATATTTGCCTGAACGGGGAGGAAGATACAGCGGCAAGGACATTGACATAGATTATTCCATTGATATCTGTGCAATAACTGGTTTAAATAAGAGACATCTTGGAGGAATGACAGGATCAGGACAATACTCTGAATTTTCAGAATACCAGTATTCTACAATGGGGATTGCTCTTTGAAAGCAGACAATATTTCTTTTCTTCTATTCTGTCTCTCTTGGTGAGTGATGTGAGGGGAGAACATTGTTACCTCTGACTTCATTTATTAAACTGATTTTTTGGGAAGCAAAGTATGCCAAGGCTTCTTCCTTACCTGAGCATATGAGATGATAATTTCATAATTATTCATCCAAGCCCCACAGAATCTCTTACTTCTCTCCTGCTTAGCTGTAGTGAGCTTAGTCATGTTGTGACTCCATCACACATTCTGACTGAAATCCAAATCCTAGTGAAGTCAGTAGGTTCAGCACTTTTCCCCAAGTTACTACTTGAAACTTGACATTACTTTATTGTCTAGTTTTAATTTTGATTGAGGTCTTATACTGCTAAAGTAAATGGAAGAGAAGATTTGTTTTTTTTGTGGGAGGGTATATTAATAATGCACTTTATATGGAAGAACAACCACTGTTTAAGGTTCTTCCAAGTGAATTCTCAAGTGATATGTATATACGTGTGTATACAAATACTTACAAACAGTTGTGGAAAGGAACTAATTCAACACTGGATTCCTTGATTTTGGAGTAATCCCTGGATTCCTTGATTTTGGAGTAATCCCTGATATTGCCATTGTTGCAGTTAATTTTTGGTACAGGAAAGCCAGAACATGCTGGATATTACAAAAAATGTTAGTCAAAGATTTTTTGCGGTGCAAGGTGAACTCAGTAAGCATCTCCCTTTCTGCACAATTATCTCTGAGATGTGTCTTGAAACTAATACTTTATAGAAACATGTCAAAGAAATCAAAGAATCTTGCTTTGGAGAGTTGTTTCCTAATCCCCAGAATTTACATGTATTTTATATAATAGAGCATGAAGATTTATTGCCCTTACACTACTTTTTTTCCAGCTCGTGTAATGAAGAGTTTCTCATTATTCTTGTAAACACCTGCTTTTTCTTGAATTAGAAAAAGTGGTATGGTTTCTTCTTTATCTATTAAAAAATCAGTGTATTTTCCACTAGTAGTACTCAACTCTAGTCATTTGTCCCAAGAGTACTCTCTTAATTTTCTACTTAAAACTTGACTGTAAAAATTTGTGACTTTTATGGTAGCATGGTTTAATTGTGCTTCCCTATTGGAATATACTGTGTATCTGGAGATGAATGCTTTCTTAACATTGTGTAGATACTGAAAAGAAAGATAATCTAAATGTATACTTTATTCAGAGGCAATACCAAAGAGACCACTGTACAACAATATTAGAGGGGAGAAGGCAAGAAAAACTTGAGACATAGATGCTTCAAGAAATACGAAGTGTGGCTACAGGATAGCATGATGGAGTAATGATGGATTTCTCATCTTCCCCTCTCTAAAACATATAGCAGAGCTTGGAGAGCTTAGAAGTGCTTCTCATTAATTGTTCTGGATGCTTGATTCAGTAACTTCTCAATCTTTTTGCTCCCAAGGACTAAGGTTACGAGACTGAAGTAAAGGCCTTCTGAGATGCCCCAAATAATTGATTTCAGAGCAGTTGGCAGACACTCAGTTACTCTCAGAAATTTGGGCAGAGTGCTGCTGAAGTTCAGATTTTTTTTTCTTTTCCTTACCAGTTGTATTGCTTAGTCTGTTGAGCTTTATGATTGTAGTAAGCTACCGTAACTAACAGGACTGCAAGGCTGTGACTCAAGTGACAGCTCAGTTCAGAAGCAGTGGTGTTTGTACAGGGGAAAAACTGATTCTAGAGATTCTACTGAGATAGTAGAGGTCAATTAATTTCATAATCCTTTAGAAAAACTGGAGATGACCTACATTTTTTTATTTAGTTCATATCTTCCTTTCCCACACTTGGAGTAATGATAAGCTATGTTTCTTTTAGATCCACATTTTAAACATGCCTGGGTTTGGTGTCTTGTTTTTTCTTCTTTGAACCTTGAGAGCTGTTTCTGGTCTGTAAACTTTTTATGCATCTTCTTTTACTCTGATTTTGGAAAATTGCCTTTATTTAGTCTTTGAAAGAGTGAGGAGTGTAAATTAGGAATACTTTGCTGAGCCAATACTTTGCAGCACTGATTGTGTGGAAGAAACTTTGCAAGGCAATATTAGCATGCAGTCCCGGTGTTTCTTCTAATGAAAATGTGTGCTTTGCCTCCGGGACATTTCAGCAGGCATCTGTTCATAGAAATGCAGCAGTATTAAAATTTTTACCATGTCTTCTCACACACTGAAACCCATAAGGTTTCACAGAATAAAATTATATAGTAACAAGATTGCAGTAAATATGTAAATGATGAAAGAGAGGCAGGAAAATAAAAAGAAGCAGCAAGTAATTCCACAAGCAAGGGAACTTACAAATACTGGCTTCCAAGAATTTGCGGGTTGTGGTTTGATTCTCAGATGTCTTACAAGTTGCATGCTCTGATCAAGGCTTTTTCTGCATCTGTAATGTTTGTAACATCTTTTTAACAAGTGAATTTATTATTATGCACAAACTACATTTCAGAAATTTTCTGCATAGAGCACAAGTAGAATTTTGTTCTTCCTGCCATCTTGCAGTTCTGGTGAAATTCTCTGGAGCTTCATAATGGTGATAACTCTGTTCTGTAAAATTTGTTGAAATTAGACAGGGGGTTGATAGTTGATTTGGAAGGATGGAGTGACAGACAGGTAAACACCTGAAACTGACTGTATTAAAACCAAAAATAAACATATTCAGATATATATTCTAATAGCACAAGTATCTTTTCTCAGAACCAAGCTGATAGTTTTGTCAGGTGAGATTTATGATGAACTATATGAATACTATTTTTTAATGCACAGAGCTGGATAGGTCAGGTCTGAAGCACAGAGTTTCTTATGTAAATAAATAAATACAGACATAGATACAAGTGAAAGCCCATGTACGCTGTCTCCTTGAAGCAAATAAGTATAAAATATACCAAAGACGAAATGTTTAGTGAGATAGTTTGAAAAATGCATATTGAAAACAAGGAGAACAGCTGTATTCTAAAACTGAGTTAAGAAGTGAGACTGTCAGTGAAATTTTACACTGAATGGTCTGGCAGAAGTTTGGACTTCGGAAGTTCACAAAAAAGAGGAATGTGACAGTTAAATAGATTTTGATTATGATGAACAGACACAAAGTTTATGAAGTTAATCTGAAGCTTGTGGAATAGACCCTGTTATCTTCAGAGGAAAACTAGGTTTGATTCAGTTGAGTTGAATGCAAACAGCAGGATTAAAAAATGCCTATAAAATAGGGAGAGAATGGAAGGATACTTGTGGAAAGTTGAACTGATGTAAAAGAGGAAGCAGATTCTGTGTGACACCAGAATTGTGGAGTACTTTTGTTGGTTCTTTTTGAAATAAAGTTTTCTCAGAACTGAGAGTAGATACTGTACCAGGAGCAATATTTGCCATTCTCAGTGGGAAGAAGGGGAGAGAATTAAAAAAATATCTTGGGAAGTTTTTCAGAAGCATTTACCCCTCCCTGATTGCAGCTGTCACATCACAGCACCCTTTGTTCTTACAATTGGATTGTGACTGGGAGCAGCAGCCACCAGTAAAAATACAAAAAGACAAACATGGCAAAAAACAGTATATATAGTATAACAGTATATGTATCCCAGGACTTCACTTGTCACTGTTATTTAAACTTTCTCTGTCTTTCCACAGGCTGGAGAAATGGCATGAGGGTCACCAGTTAGTTTTTGCAGGCTCTGATCCCTAAGTAAGCTCACCAAAAAAATTCTGAAGGTATTCCAAAAAGTACCTCTCACTTCTGTTAGATAATTTACCCTCTTCTTTTCATTAGTTAAAAAGTTTTGTATTTTTTAATGCTGCTGCTAAGGTCAGTCAGCATTATGAGTAGTAGGAAGATAGTTTTTCCATCTAGGTTGAAGTGCTTTAAAGGATGCTTTGTGTATGCAGGTTCATGTATCTCTGCCACATAAGAGCCAGCTCTTGGGTTGAAGGCAATAGATTTAGAAATCTCAGTGCTGAAAAGAAAAATTTTAAATTTTCATGACTTGTGGTTTGCATCAGTGCTTGTAAAGTGTAAAAATGACCCATTTCACAGTCTCAAACTTTTGCAGGTAGATGGGGCTTTTGGGTAGAAGCTAAGAACTCTAAACTGACCTAGATTGTCTCTATTGCCCACTGTTTTTTGTAGATAGGTAGAAATATTGTCTCTCAGCAATCATATTTCTGGTTTGCAGGGGTATGAATTCTTTGGTTCATCTAGCCACCAGATAAATAGCAGGAAAGGGTAATGCATACAAAGCTTTCTCATGCCTTGAAATACAGAAGGAAGATTTTAAAACTTAAATCCATTCTTCATGACTTTTTTCTGTTTACCTTTATCATCTCCTCGATATGTTCAGTCAAAGCAGCATGAAAGATTTCAGGATGCAAAGAGACTCAGTAACTCAGTCTTCTCAAAGGAGAGCATTGTCACTCATTTACTATGATTTCTGATACAGTTTGAGGATGAAATGTTTTACTTTAAAATTCAGCTGTCTCATTCCATACCATGCTCTTAGGCACTACCACAGAGCACTGTCAGAGGACTGTATTTACGTTTATAACATATGAACATAGATTTATATGTATTTATACACGCATATATATCACAGAGACATAAGCACACAAAAAATACACAAACCAATTTAAAGAACCTTTTTTTTAAATATACTTCAGAAGATTTGTGTGAATGTAAACATTGGGGAAACTTGTGCAGCAGAAGTCACTGTAGGCAGTAGCATTTTGACCTCTTAAATAAAACTATGCAGGATTACATCTTTCACTGGAAATGAAATGGATGTTTAAAAATTTGTGGAATTTTGATTACTGCTTCTTAGCCTAGCACAAAAGATGCTATAAATTGCCTAACAGATTTGTGCATGAGACATATTATATATGACACCACACTATTGAGTTCCACTATTTAATGAAAGGCTACCTATTAAAATTTTTTATAGGCAAACCAGGAATCTCTTGCCATGTAGTCTTAATGGATGGAAAAAATAAGGAAATCATCAGTTTACATATATGCAAGCAATAGTTTCTATATATTGTTAATAGCATTTGAATGGTTAACAATGCTGATAACCTACTAAACCCCATTAAAATCTTTGAGTGTTGTGTAAGACAGAGAAATATTCTGTAAGAAATAAGGCACAAAATATCCTTCTGCACATCTGTTATGGACTTCCACATTTCTACATTCACTCTGACTATAACTTCATGTTCACAAGTGAAAATAGAGTGCATAGCTGCTCTGATAATTACCATTTTCTTAGAAATCTGTGGACAGCTTTAATAATGTTTCACTATGCTCCACTACCCTCATTTCAACTTAGATTTAATGCAGCTATAGTCTAAATAGATTAAATGGTTCATACAGTTTAAGAATTAACATGTCAGATTAATAGAAACACATTGTAAAGTGCCCATCTCCGAGCATCTTCCATTCTTTTTGCTGATACAGATTATGTTTATTTTGTACAGAGAATTAGAATAAATAACACAGTATAGTACTGTATTATTAATACCTCTTTTTTTTTTTTTTTGGTATTAATCTGTGCTTAAGTGCCAAATGTTGATGCTGTTTAAATGATCTCTTCCTATATTTGAATACTGAAGTGCTACAAATAAGAATTGCCCAGCTAATGTTCTGATCCATTGTAACATAAGTAAGTAAAATGCTGGTGTGGACCAAAACATTTTCCAACACAAACCTGAAAAACAGCAACAACAACAACATGCAAAACAAACTGGTGTGTGGACTTTATCCACCACAGAAATAGAACTTAAAAGACAAATGGGCAGAGAGAAAATATAGTCACAGATAGATTCCATTTTGATATCTTCTCAAAAGTTCCAGAGTGATTAATTCTAGGTGACCTTAAATCAGGTAAAAAGATTGCATTGTACCAGTACACTGGACAGTTCCTGCCTGCTTCAGAACAGCAAAACCACCTGTGTAGTTCAAGCCAGTTTTTTTGTGTCATAATGACACATCAATATCCTTTACAGAGGCAGAATTACCATCCAGTGGATCTCAGTTCACAGAACATCACAGTTACACTCACTCCATCTACTCAGTCACCTCTAGAATTAGGTACAATGGTGCACATGTCTCAATTCTTAATGGAACAGTCACTGGGCTTCCTGTTGTAATAGCTTTGTAGTGACTTTCTTTTCCTGTTTCATTCTGAAATGGTGTGAGAGTCCTTAATTTTCAGTTTATGCTGTCTTTATGGCTGCTTCGGTCTGTGTTGTGATTATTTAGTTCTTGGTTTTTCCATTGAATGCTTGTTCCATTCATGGGCACTGAAGTCACCAAACTCTTAGACTGGGAGCAGCAACAGCAAAGACATGACTGAAAATGAATAAAAAATTAATAAGTAAGTAAGTAAGTAAGTAAATAAATAAATAAATAAATAAAAAGTTAAGACAAATCTCTCAGTTCTGTGCAGTTTGCTAGCCATATTTTTCATTCAGAAATGACAGATAATTCTAGCTGAAGGGAGTGCTAGCTATATTCAGGGAAATTTTTATCCTAGGACATAAAGGATTCTTGTGATTGAACATCACAAATGCAGCAAATTAGGCCCAGCTTGTGCCTCTTATTCAGAAAAAAGTCTTCCACTGTATGAAAAGGGAAATTTGTACAACTAAGGTAAGTAGATTGAGAACTGACAGAATTCAATACATATTATTAGGTGCTGGGTTGTTTGTTTTTTCCCTCTCTTTATCATTGTACTTGACAAACTTAAGGATCAGCATGTGGAAAAGAAAAGAAGAAAAATTCCTCAGGCCATGACTTAGGTCTCTTCTCACATCTCAGAAAAAAGACAATATTGTTTCAGAAAAGGTTCAGTGAACATACTGAGGTGTAACATTTTGCACAGTTAGGAATAGAAGCTGACTTCATACTTATCAGGTGAAAATGCTCCCTTAAAATAGTTTGTAAATCTGAGCAGGCTACGGACAAACAGGTATTCCCTTTGTCTAATAGTTCTTTACATTTTTCTCAGTAGTTTGCATTTGGCCTATTCTCAGACTTAAAGTTTAGGGGTACAGTCCTATCATCCTTTGTTTTTCATTGCAGATAAAGCTATTTCAGTCTTCCATTTCATTATTTTCTTTACTCTCATTTTTTTGCTCCCTGTGTTGCCTTTAATAGGTGGACAGGGACTTGCAGAGGCACATTGTCACAAAGAAATTATTTTAGCCTTAAAATATGTTTGCATGTGTAGGAACTAGAAAATTCAGGTAGAGACATAATGCATATTTCATGCTAAAGTCAATTCAGGTACCTGATTTGGTATTCAAGCCTGAAAATTTTAGTTATTAATGAGATTGTTTAATAGAGGCAGCTTGGTGTCATCAAGAGTGGAAAATTGTTATCAACCAAATTCTGTTTCATGTGCATGTCATGTGCAGTTTTTTACAAGAGCATGTCTATCTCAGTTTACACATATGAAGACTATGTCAAACTAATTTACTGGTTTAGTATTTCAGATAAAGTGGATAGTTTCACTTTCAGGTTGGTACATGTGCTATGTGAACTGCTAGCTGCTAAACCAGATAATGCATATTCTTTCATTCCTTTGCATGTCTCTTCTCCCAGCTGTTAAAATAGGTAACAAGCAATACAATGGGTTCAATACAGTTAGTTAACTGGATATAAAACCTTACCAAGAGAATCTTACCTGGAAACAGTTTTTAAACTTCTTGCTCACAAAATACAGAGCTATGGGGTTTATGCAAGAGTTCATGGTTGCCAGGTTAATGCTGATGTAATCCAAGGGCAGCAAGAAACTGGGGAAGAGGAAGAAAAACATTTAAACTGTTCATATGCTACAGAAGCATCCATGTGGTTACAGGCTCTTCTGTCACACGATTCTCTCTTACCTAGCTCCCTCAATCTAATCTCGTACCATGCCATGTCTATAGTAACCTCACAGATATTAAAAAAATAAAATAAATTAAAAAAAGGTCTCACAGATATTAAAAAAAAATCCAAAGCAAAGTGATTGATAATGATAGACAACATTTGTTAAGATTATGCTTCCCCATTAAAACTGAAACTGCTGAAAGTGGCTGCAGCTTAAAATTAATAAACATCACAGTTGCATTGCATAGACTGTGACTTTCTATGAGTGACATTCCTCATAGAAATTCTAAGCATGCAGCATTATATTTTTTCAGTACAAACTATTGGCATAGAAAATGAAGTACCTGAGCAGTTCACATCTGCTGGGGTCTTTTTCATTGTATACCATTTTCTTCAAAATCCGGCTCAGATGGAGAGGGAACCAGCAAAGAGCAAAAATCACAACTAAACAGAAAACTGTCTTGGCAACTTCTCGGCGCTAGATAAAGGAGATAAGAGTACATACTGAATGCCAAATTCATACTAGCAGGTGATTGTAGCTAGTAATGATGACAGCAAAGTCAGTAATATAGGTAAATTATGAAAGAATTCCCAAAGTGAAGCTTCCCAGACTGATGTACTACTCTTTCTTATGGGGTTTGTCACGTTCTTGATCCTGGCCATCCTCAACAGAACCTGCTCATCACTGAGGCTGCAGCAGCTGGGCACACAAGTATTTGTGTTGCTAGAATATTGTAGGAGTCTCTCTGATATCTGGTTCTGTAAAGGGATACTGCCCAGTATCTTGATTTTGCTATGTGATCCTTACTATGAGATTTTGATATTCTCAGGTAAATAGTTCCTCTACAAACATTTTAGAAATGTCATTATTACAGCTTAATCTTGTAACACTTAAGAAATAATTGCACTTTAATGGGTATTTTATGTGGCTCTAGAGAGTTACAGATGTTTCAGTGGATTTTTGACAACAAATACCAGTGGTGTTTGGTAGGCATGGATTTGATAAAGAGAAGCATATGAAGAATTAAGGATTCCAATGTAGTGTAACAGTGACAAGCACTGCAAGGCTCTGCCATGAAAGAACTTGAGGTCAAATAAGTGATTACAGTCTTGTTAAGTTTTGAATATGACTATTATAGTTTCCTCTTTTTTGTTATAGCAACTTTTATCAAAATATGAAAAGAATTCTGTTAAGACATTAATGTTGGGAGGGAGGCAGGGAGGGAGGCAGGGAGGCAGGAAGGCAGGCAGGAAGGCAGGAAGGCAGACAGGCAGGAAGGCAGGCAGGCAGGCAGGCAAGGAAGGGAAGGAAGGGAAGGAAGGGAAGGAAGGAAGGAAGGGAAGGAAGGAAAAAATAAAAAATACAAATAAGTTCCTTTTAAGTGTAGTCATGTCATCTGATGGGCTTAAAGCCCATTNAGGGAGGGAGGGAAGGAAAAAGGTGAGAGTTAAAAAGACAAGCAGTTGTAAATCGTGGCATAAAGACATCCTGCAGCAGCCAGTCTAAAAAGCTTGGTGGGCAGTGCATTTTAGGATGGGAAAGGGTGGATTCCCCCACCTCCTAGTACATACCATTCTAGTTCTAAAGGGTGGAGTAGCCTGTGTGTGGCCCTAGGACACACTGTGTTGCAGTCCTAGGGCCTGATGAGGGTAAGAAGTGGAGAATCTGCACAAGGGAAGGTTTTTCCACTCAGCCCTGATCTGGAATGAACCAGCAGAGGAGGAACTTGCTCTGATGCAGAGAGGACTGCTTTAGGAATTCACAGCTGTGAACATGGAATTTAAAAGGGTGGAACTTGAAGGGCTGATGTTAACACTGGGGAAAAGCTCCAGATTGTTTTTAAAATTTCAGTTAAGCATTAAACATCAGCCAGCGCTGCCAAACCAGCAAAGAGACCTGACGGCTCCGTGAGCAACTTTGTTCTGTGGTCATTTGTTTGTTCTGCTCTCCTGTTGCTCTTTTCAAAGCAACTACAGCAGTGGTACTGCAGCAGTGCAATAACCCTGAGATACAAAATCCATTCTTTTCTAAACCAGGTTATTCTACAATTGCTTTTTATATGAAACTACAATTACATATCAAAGAGTGCCAAAAGGAGGGAGGATCCATGGAGTCATATCTTTATACAGAAAAAGAAACATATTTTGGCATATCTTTGTAGTTAAATTTCAAAGCATTTAGCACTAGTGATTTGAGGTTGAAGAGAAAGAGGGCACAACTGTCAAAATAAGAAAAGAAAGAAAAGGTTTAGTTTCCTGAGCATACTGTCTTCAATGCCTAGTTATACTATGATTTAGTCTTTTGTTCCAGGTTTAAATGACTGCCTTAACATCATAAATAACCCACATACTCACTTTCTACTTTGGTAGTTTACTGTATTCAAGTACGCTTTGAAATATTTCTAATGTAACCCGTAGAGAGAAGAACAATATTTTCAAGAATTGGTGTTTCTAATATATTTACCTGCTTCAGGTGTTCACTGAGAGCAATTCTCAAGTTGCTGTTTCTTCTGTTTAACATTTCACAAGTCATTAGCGTATAAAAGATGGCAGTACATGCCAGTGGCATGCAGAAATAGAAACCAAACAGCCACCAATCCTTTGCATCTTTGTAAAACTGTAGATAAGGAAAAGAAGAGAGCAGATATTTTCTTATGATTCAATGCAAAATACAGTAGAAAGGCCTTGGAAAAACATGATGGTTGGTACACTGTAAGTCTGTTTCCTTATTGTTGATCTCTTTTTGACCAATATCAAAATAGGAATTGTGACAGTGTAAACATAGATTGCCTTCTTGTACCTTTGTTGCAATCTGTCTTGGGTTGGAATTAATATTTTTGGTTGTACTTTCTGAACATTTACAGTCATTCGTGAAAACTGGAATACAGCTGCATGAAAATGACATGCCAAAATGTAGACAGTGTCAGTCTGAGATAACAAATCTTACTAAAAGCCTGTCTCAGGAAATGCCATTTACCTCTACAGCTTCTGTCCTGATACCAAAAAAGGAAAATTCAAGATGTCTTGCAAGTTTAATCACCTTTTGTTATCAGTGAAAAGGTTGGCAGTTGGTTTGCTTATGTACTGTGCAGATAGGAGCCACTTTGTAAGTGTTTGTCTGATATGTGCAAAGCTTAGGGATGGCTTCCAGTGGTACAATTACTTTTAACCCCTTGACTGCCATTTCCACCATTTGCCTGTTGTGACAGGACATTAAGGTATTGATAGAATAGCAGTACTTCGCTCTGTGTAATTTTAAGTATAAGCTGTGATTGTAAGCAGTTTTGTAAATGAATATATTTATGTATTGTGGAAAATATTACATTTGAGAAAACATTTAAAATAGCTCTTTTCTGTAGAGGATTGTGTTTTCAGATTTTAGAAAATATCTGTATCTTTGTTTTTAATTTTTATGTTCAGCCAAAAGTATGCACTGAAATATGGCATTTCAAATACTTCCTGTGTCTAGGTTATTAGTATAAAAGGGATGTGTCACTCTTTCCCCCAGCTTGTTTGTTCCTAGAGGATGTGCTTTTGTAACATCACAGTTCCCACACCAAATGTCAAAATTCTTATGCCTGAGGATGTTATGAATCCTGTTTCAAAAAGTCAAACTTTTGACATCGTGTTTACATTTAAAACCAAACAGCATTAAACTTTGAAAGATGAAAAAAAGTTGATACAATTAATATACTGGTGTTTAATAATGTTACTTTAAAAATCTACTTCAGTTACTTTAGAAAGTTGATTTACTGAGAAAAATTGAATGCTTTTGATTTTTTTCCCCTCTGCCCCAACACAGCTGCATACAGAATTTGCTAGTTTAGATTATGCTGCTGGTTTCTAGGCCACAATCCCACCTCACTCTGGGACACTGTGTTGTGTTGATTAACTTGTTTCCTCCTCCTCATTACCTCCTCCCTGAGGAGGGGCTACAGTCTCCTGCATAGCTGCACTTTCCTTGGGGGCAGAATTTCCCCCTCTGGGAGCAGAGCTTTTGCCAGCAGAGAACCTGAAAACAATATGCCTTGTATGTGAGGAGTTTGTACTGAGGGCAAATGTAATTACTGCTCCTTCTGCAGAGACAAGGATTACATGTACATGGAGACAATTATCTTTTCCACGGCAAATTCCTCCAAGTCAGGCTAGAATCACATTGGCTGGGCAGCAACAAAATGTGCACTACGTGAATCCACTCCATGTTTACAAGGAAAACTTTGTGTCCTACCAGTGTTCCAGCCTCCGTGAGCATTGCCTGTTGGTCAAGAATACACACGAATGGTCTGTGTCACAGCCCTGACCAATACATCACTGCTGAATGAGGAGTTGGCCTTGTGGAGTTGTAAAACCTACTCTAAAATGTCTGTAAATGATTAATTGAGGAATCTGAGTTTCACAAAGCTTACATCAAAGCACAAAAATGGGTTGATTAAAGAGAAGTAGACATTCTTTTGTTTGTCTTGAAAGCCCACATGGAACCAGTTTTCTACAGGAAATGTGCATTTTAAACAAGTTTCCTAGTGCACTCAGCCTCTTGGGAATCATGGTCTTGCATGAATCTTTTAAATCTTTCAAAGATAGTTTTAAACATGAATAAAGCTCCTATTAAAAACAAAAGTTAATAATAAACCCTTCCTGAAGTTTAGTAATTGTTTATTGTGGTGTTTGTGGTAGTAAATACTATAGTTAAGGTTAAAATACTATTTCCACTTTCATCTCATTTGTATTTTGTTTGTATTTTCTTGCAACACATTGAAACACAAAGCTCTGCATTCTGGCTGACACATCCAACATTTTACTCTCAGCTTGGACATAACTTCTGGTTTGTTTCCTTAAAAATCAAGCTGCTGTGGGGAGATTGGCACTTTTGAATTATACTGAGCAAGTAAGAGATACTACTTCCTGCTAGGAAAACAAACCAAGCTATTCAACTTGTAACATTAAGACCAGAACTGTAATCATTAAAGTTAGCATGCCTATGGAAGACCTGAACTGTAATGTTTTTGAGAAGAGGGAAAACTACTATTTTTCTTAGGGAGAGAGGAAGTGAAGATTGTCCAGGCACATTTGAAGAGAAAAACAGCTTGTAGAGATGGGAAATTTTGCTGCAGTGTGTAATTCATAAATCACAGTCTTGTAACTACAGTATCTACAGTCATATAGGTTGTGGAGTTAAGAAACAAAAATATAATAAGCTCTGGGAAATTCCATTCCGTCTTTACCTGAATTAATTATTTCCATTAGGGAATTCCTTTTGTCTTCTCTTTCAATTACCTTGTTATAAATGAATATCCAATTTGATTAACAAAAAGAATTTATTCTATTATCAAAATACAATTGTAAAAGCCACTAGAAAATATCAGATTGATGCTGTACTGGGCAAACAGCGTCAGGTGAGAAGGGGGGTTCTCTGTAGCACCCTCTGCTGTGTTTCACAAACTGTGACTATCACATGGTGCTTTTTATATGTTCTCAGGCTTTTTGGGGGTCCCTTGGAATACGCTTCTTGCAGACAAATATTCATGCTGGTTTTGGTGCACATCGTTGTAATCTTGTTGGACAGAAGTTTCCAGGAAATACACTTCTTGCAGACAAATATTCATACTAGCCTTGGTGCATATCACTATAATCTTGTCAGAGAAGGTTTCCTGGAAATATGCTAGGATTCTTTTCAGATGAGATTATAACTTTAGCACAAATCTTTTCGTGCCATGTATTGCAATCTCATGCTCTTTTTGCCATCACTATAGTCTGTGTAACCCTACCAAAGTTGGGGATGTTCCTCTGAAAAAATAATTATCCACACTTCTTATTTTCTAAAATTCCTAGCTCCACTTCACCCTATTGTTCCCAATTCTAGGCCATGTTATGTTATGGTCCAATAAAAGGAGAAGCATTAGACATTCAAAGAAGAGAAACTTATACTCTATTATGAAAAATTCTAGTCCATAAAAAAATACTGAGTTTTTCTCAAGACTTAGGACCTGGTGCTATCTGCTTTCTCTGCAACAAATCAGAATCTTACTCCTTCTTTTTATTACTGAATGAATGGTACCTGGCCTTTCTCTGGATTCAGAAATTTAAAAATTAAGATACTGTCTCATTGTAAGGCCAGGTGGAAAACCACTACACCCTTACGCAGTAATCTATTGATTTTGTAGTGACTTCTCACCTGAGCTGCTTTGCAGAAGTTGATGTGGGTATTGACAGCTGTTAATCTGCAGAAGCATAGAGGGTGAGTGGTAGGATATATGCCAAAGCAGCCTGGCATGTCTCAGGCACTCCTCTCTCTCTTGAGCTGCTGTATCTCATGGCAGCTAACACTGCACAAGCACCTAGCTGGAGGTGTGGGTCTGTCAGCTTTGTAGTCATGAATTCTTGTAAACTAAAGCATGATTTTTTATTTGACTTTAATGCGTGTAGCGTGGCCCCACCCTTGTCTTTATGTGCCAGGAGAGCTGACTACTGCATACAAAAAGATGACTAATCATGGTAAAACATGTGTTTTGACATTTACAAGCTCCAAGGTGTTGTACTTTGAAACTCAAAACTTTTCAAGGCTCTGACTACCCTGATACATCTCTTGATAGTACTTGAAGCAGGTGTGAATTGCAAATGTCTGTAGTAAGAATCCTTAGTAGCAAAAAAATGAAAATGCTGTAAAGGCCCATTTAATCTCTCTGGTTGAAAACAGAGACAAGTCACTGTGAACTTTGCACCAATACACATTAGAACACATTTTTCAGTTTAATGATGAATAAACTCTGATATCATCCAGTATCTTAATTGTCTAGGCCATGTACTGTGGGTTCCAAAAAAGAGAAGACAGGATGTTACTTACCAACATGAAATCGTTTGTAGGTTTGAGCATGCAGGTAACATAACTTGCATCCTTGTATCTGAAAGGTACCACAGCAAAGCCAATTGCTTCTGGGATGGCCAGTATGAAGGACAGAAGCCAAATGGAGAAAATTTCAATAGCAGTGATCATTGGGATTCCAATCCCCTGAACACGGCTCCAGGACGCCACTGCTCTGTACCTGAAAGAGACAGGCGTTAGTTTCCAGCCCGCAGTTTCCTTAAAACAATCACTTAATCACGGTCAGTGTCATATGGCAAGTAAAATCCTAAAGCTGACATCTGAGATTTGTATTACTTGGTTTTTTTGCCTATTCCAGGGCCTCTGCCAGCTGTCAACTTACCTAGGACAAAATAGGGCACATCAAAGAGTGGAGAGCAGAGAGGCGACTGCTCCTGTCCCACTTGGGTGTGGGATTGTGTGGAATTCTGCTAGGTGGACCGATGGACTAGTGATTTCTAATTCAAGTAGGCAATGCTTGTGAGGACAGACTGTATCTTTCACTAAATAACTGCCACAACAGAGGAAAAAAAGCTTCCAGGCACACAGCCATTCTAACAGACACAAAACATCCATCTCCTTCAGCTACCTCAGCTGTAGCAGCAGTGCTATCCAAAGTGAAGCTGTCAGCTTCCAGGCAATGAAAGACTGGGAAAATACTCCTGATGAAGTGAAAATGCATTTGTTGTGTTTATACAGTTTAATGAACTGAGAGGATCTTTCCCCTCTACTTGTCTCTCAGTTTTCAATGAGCTTCTAGAAATTTATTAGCTTTGAGACCTCAATCACTGTCAGCTCTGGTCAGAAGGCTGTAAAATTTTTCAGAGAAGGCTGATAGGCATAGAATACAGAGTACAATCCAGTCCATAAATTAAATTTTCAGTAGTAGATTTAACTCTTGTCCTACAATGACTGCAGTAAACTACTTAGCATTTCCAACAATTTAGCAAAGACAGAATCAGTAGAAAGAACCAATATTATTTTTTGACCTTGTAATAACCTGAAATTCATTCTAGAGATTTCTCTGTCATTAATGATGCAACAGCTTCTGAACTGCTTATTTTACTTCCCTAAAATAATAGCACCTTCCCATTTGGAGTGACTGTGCTGCATGGATATATCATGGCATCCACTGATGAAATAGTCTTCTTTAGTTGAGGATAAAAAACGTCAAGAAAGGTTGTTTGTCTGCTCAGAAAAGTATCAGATTAAGAAGAGAAATACTGGATTTTGAATTTTTGAGATCACAGAATCACAGAATGAACTAGGCTGGAAAAGACCTTTGAGATCTTCAAGTCCAGCAAAGATGGAAGGAATGAAGAGCTTCCAATGGGAAAAAGAGGGCTACAGGACCTAGGCTACAGAGATCAGGAAAATTTAGTTATTAAAAGGCTTTCTCAGTCCTCCTTTAGCTGATACAGTGACATTGGATTCACACACAAAGCATTTATTCTGATTTCTTGTATTGCAACCCCTTTTTAGTTTGGAGGTGTGCTTATTAACTAGATGAAAGACTTGGGAATTCCATCCCCTGTAGCCCAAGTGTAAGGGGAATGACAATACCTGAGTGCAAACCCAGGCTAAAGCCCCTCACAAAAAATTCAGCAAGCATTGTTATCCAGCATCACTGGAAGGTGTCAGGGCCTGGCATGCCTTCATCACCCCTGCAGGAAACAGACTGGAAAGCTTTGCCTTGATATCTACAGCAGTGTCATGCACAGCATAGCACAGGTGTACTGCACACAGGCTCTCAGAGCATCATTTCTACAGAAATGTGTGTATAAATACTTAGAGCATAATAAAGCAAACTACAACTTGGAATTGCACATTAAAAATAAAAATATCATCTAAAGACATCCTTATCTTGCAAGAATGTGAAAAAGGAGGGAGGCAATGGTTCACTGATGGGGAAGAGGTCTCTGAGATTAGAATTTTGAGACCATCGAAACAAAACTATCATGGGAGAATTAAGAAAGAAATATCCAGAATCATATCTTCTAACAAATATTCATATTAAAAACCAAATTTAATTTTAAATAATTTGTCATCCTGTCATATTTCATTTTGCCAAATATCAAATTCTGGCTTTCATTGCCAAATGGAATATTCATAGAAACTTAGCCTTTCACACAAATGCTCAATTATTTGTGAACTTTGGAAACTTAACAATCAGTTCAAAGTTTACTTTCTACAGACTGGCAATTTTACAATCATTTCTGTCAGCTGCACAAGGTACAACCCCATCCTTGAATAACTGATGCTCTTAGCAAACAGGGGCTTGTACACTGTATATATTTCACTGTATATATTTTTCAAGTATCAAATGTAAAATTTGTTTTGTGATACCTCTGAAACCAATGGGTTGCAAACTGCAAATCCAGTTATTTCCTTTCTTTCATTTTTATACCTATTCTTTTGAACAAAAACATCTGTTTTGCACAAGAGATGTTTTGCAGAAAGTAAGGATTTGGGTCCTGTATGCATTTTACTGATTTTTTTTTCTCCATTTACAATTCAAATAACTCTCAAATAAGGAATTTTTAGATTAATAATTTTCTGAATATTTTCAGCTAAAACATAAGAAGCTCAGTAATTAGATCAGAATTTTCTGAATGTGTATTAATCTGCAATTACTCGGTTTCTTTACTCACTGCTGTAGGAGTGATTTGAAAAATAGTGGCTGTAATAATAATTTTAGTAGTAATCATTTTTAAGGTGGGTGTTCTGTGGGTTATGTAATATACAGGACTTCTGTCTAGCCACAAATCTTCCAAAATTAAGAGTGACAAAGTACTGCAGGGTTTGTTTCCCTCATACTTGGAAAACATAGGATATCTGCCAGAGAGCTGACATAAAATACATACATAATGCATTGCATTTAACTCCTTATTCTAAAATCTGTATGAGATTTGCCTAACTTTCCTTTTATTCGGTTTATTTTCCTCTTGTCTCTAATCTTGTCTGAAGTGTTCACTTTTTTCCCCAGATCACTTTGTGCTCTCTATTTGATGTTGTGGCTCTTCTTCTCTCTCCCATTTTCATTTCCAACTGCTCATGCATGTGCTGTCCCCTTGTATACATGCACACAATTAAATATTTTGTACTCCTATCCAGTTATAACATGCTTAAAGCATTTCTTTCAGAAGGACACCTTGTCTGGATCTGATAACATCAGTGAGTGCTTTTGTTCCCCTATTCCTTTTAACATAGATTAGAAATTAGGTGTTGATTAGGGAATTAGGTGTTAATTTAAAAAATTGATGTTCAGATGGCCCTGTAATATAACAGTGTCTGTTCTGCGACTATCATCAGCCCTTAGTAAGAGTGAAAAGCAATGCAGGAAACGTAAAGGACAAAATCAAGCAGGTATGAAGCAGTGGCTATCAAGATGGGTGCCAGGACAGTTCCTAAATGTCCCCACTGTTGCTGATACCGAACTGTTCTGCTTCATTGTTAGCAACCACAGCTGTTCTTCATTTTATGCAAATATCTTAATACCATAAAGCTCTTAGAGTTTTGTTTCAGTGGCAAAATCTCAACTTGTCTCATACACTTACTGTGAGCTGGTCCAGATAAAAATATCTACTTTAGGATTACTGTTCTATGCAATGTGCTATAGAAAGGAATCAAGAAGAGGGTGTATACACGTGAAACGAGACCCATATCTTAACTTTTCTTCTTCAACCCATTTCTTCATCAAATGCATTATGCTCAACATGTAAGCAAGAGTAAAAATCCAGGCAGGGAAATATCCTTCCTCTTAGTCACACTCAGGCACTGTTTAGAAAAAGAGTCACACTATCGTCACCATTGTGACCTGGAGTTTAAAAATGCCTTAGGGATATCTGAGGCAACTTCGAAGTCAGCTTCCTCCCAGGCTTTCTGTCAGCCTCTTAAAACCCTTTCCACACATGTGAGTGGCCATTGTTCCCCTTGGGCACACACACTTTAACCTTAATACGCTGTCAGGGCAAGCCACTCCAGGGCAGTAGTAATGAGGGGAGTTTCACTATGGGATGTAGTTAGCACAGGGAACTGTCCTGATAGCAAAAAAAAAGAATCCTGTTCTAACTTAAGGCTGTAGTCTGCAACAGGGACAGAGAGTCAACAATGATTAAAAACATGAAGCTCTGTATTCACTCTACCAGTTGACTACATCTTTTTTGTATCATGGAATGCAATATTTACAGACCCAAAAAAATTATAAACAAGATAGCTTTCAGGAGCTTTTTTAAAATAAGAATTAAATAACCTATAGACCAGAAACAGTCCAGCTGTGACAGCACACTCTTTCATATTTACTCATTTTCCATTCTAGAAAGCAACCATTAGTTAATGTGGAATTTTGTGTTAAGGTGCCAAACTTCCACTGTCCAACCAAACTTACTGAAGGTTCTCTGAGCTTTCATGGTGATTGAACCAAGATTCAGTTCTTGTTAGCCAATATCAGAACCTGGCTCTATACATCTGTTTTCTAGCACACATCCTCTGCAACCACTTACTAGAGTAGCAACAGATGATAAAGAATATGTTCTTGGCAAAGTGTCTAAGCTAAGGGAGGAAATTAAATAGTCTGAGTCTGATCCCAAACCAGACTTTGTAGTCAAATGGAAACAGCATTTGGTTGTTGTGAGGATTAGCAAATCAATCCTTGTAAAAGTATGGCTGCATCTACAAAAAGGTAGCTTCAGCTGAGTTAGTTCCAATTTATAAAAATGTCTATAACAGTGGAACTTCATCTAGCGAAACTGCGGTTGTCAGAATTTATCTAGCAAACTGTCTGTTTCATGTGCTTGATCTATGTTTTATTCCTTAGAGTGGTCCATGGGATTTTATTTAATGGTAGGTAGATATTGTTTGAGAAATGTGATTCTTTTTGTAGTTCTCTGACTCAAAAAATGGAAGTAGAACAGTTACCTGTATTACTTTATTTAAGTAATACAAGCAAACCTTGTACATTAACTTTTTCTGTAAAACCAAACCAAAATTAATTTTAAAGCTTCTTTACATCCCTGTACTAATACACAGTGCATTTTATTTAACAGTATTTTCTGTACTTAGAGGTACTGGTGTTTTGGAGTAGAACACAATGAAGTAACTCAAGACATAAAACCGACTTTTACAGAAGTCAAGTTTTCATCTGCTATTGCATTTTATGTATTAAGAAAAAACAGCAGAGGCATTAATTTTCAAACTATCAGAGCAAGTTCCAACATGTTTTTCAGTAGGGCTCTGTTAGTTCTGAAAGTTATCAGAATAAACCCTTGTTTATTGTCCATAGGCAGTGGGCTGAAAAACTGATTTTTAAGCCTAAAGATTATGCTCTTGTTCAAATACAAAACAAAGATGAGTTCATATGAAAGAAAGAAATCTGAATACTGAGTCAAACCTCAATACATTTTTGTCTGGTAAAAGAAGCTGAAATAATTCTTTACTAGAGCTTTTAAATACCTTTAAAAAGCATGTAAAGTTCATTAGTCCAAGGACTTAATATTATACTTTGGGCCACAAATGTGATGCTTGGCATTAGCCAGAATATTAAAGACCAGAATCTAAGTTATATCTATATTTTAGTCTGCCTGCTAAGAAAACCATGCTTTGTGCTCCCAGATTTAGGAAATCTGCATGTGCAAGAACAGTGCCAAGAGAGTAAAACATACTGTACCTGTCCACACTAAGGGCACACAGGTTAAGGACTGTGATTCCCACTGATGCCTTCTGGATAAAGGGAAGGAATTTGCAAAGAAACTGTCCAAATTCTGTATTTCCAAAAGGCCACTTTTGAGCGAGGAGCTAAAGAGAAGATACAAAATAATCAGAATATTTAAATATTAACCTGACAAGTACATCACAATTGTAGTTATTTCTTGTCTTAGACACAGCCATTGTAACCTTGAATTCTTCACACCTCAAACATATCCTTATTCCTGAGTGAATCTGGGAAAAAACTGCTACTGTGGAAGCACAGAAGTTGAAAGTTTACACTGAAGTCTTGACTTTGTGTTCTTGCAAGAGCAAATTGCATTGTAAAGAAGTTTTTTTTCTTTGTTATTGTGAATCTACCAGCAGTACTAAATAATGAAAATTTAACTCAAGCCTGTCATAAATGGTTGCAATTGGCATGCCCAGAACCAGGCAGTCAAAACGTAACTCTGGGCTCATAATGAAATAGCTCAGAGCCAAGTCTTGATGCTGCACGCAAGTAGATTCTTGTCATTGTAAATGTACTATTGTGTAACTCATGGCAATATTCAGTGCCAGACTCTGAGGAGTGTGAAGAAAACACTGTGCATACATAATTTGTTCCATATTACATTTTAAAGGACAACCGTGCAAACATGTGGGCAGTGCTTCAAGGCAGCAGAAAGGGATCCTCTGGAAAGATGTGACTGACTGAGGTTTAGAGCAGTTTTTCCAAGGAGGCATTTACATAATAAATATTAGTACAATGATTCATGTGCACAGTTGTGAAGAATTAGCATATAAAAAGTAATATTTCTAGCTATAATTGTTAAAGCTTTGAAAATGTCTTTGAACTGAGCTCTGATAGCATGAATACACACAAAATACAGGACATGAAATTATTCAGAATAATCAAATCTACAACTGGCTGCAGGGTCACAGAAGATCAGCCTTTACTTGTGCTGACAGTAAAATGGCAGATTACATTCAGTGTAAGTGTAATAAATGAAAAATTATTAAGTACATACAAAGTACTAAGCCCTAACTTAGCTATTTTAACTCAAGTGGGATATTTCAGCCCTCATGAATAGTGCTATTGAAAAACAAAGTCACTAAACCTTCTCACTCATGCACTACCATTTTGTTGTTCTTCTCTAAGTCTCTGCTGCTGAGACTTTCTCAGTGGTAGGATGTTCATGTTTTGAGAGTTAGCTTTGCAACCACAAGGACTAGAAATATTTTTCAGTAGAAGCTTAGTCCTGAAACACATTAACCTGGTAAAAGTGGGTGTATTCTAGCTGTAGAATTAGAAAAACAAATTCTGGTTTTAACTCAGCACTGTAATATTGAAAGTAAACATTTTATTTCTATTTAAATTAGTGTTAAATTGAAGCATGCTAATAATCACTTCGTTTAGCAATACAAAAGTTAACTGTGGGAAGTTCAAATTCACATCTGTCTTTATCTCAGTTAAGGTAGGTGTTACATTTCAGTTTTTTCATAGCATGAGTTTTTAAGAGAACTTTGCTGTGGTGTATGGATGTTTATCACAAAATTCTGCCTAAGAAGAAATTAATCTTCTCATACTCCTGCTGTGGATTTTTTTCACCCCCTCTATTTTATTGTCATTCATCACAATGGTGAATTAGTTGTGATTTTGTCCCCCAAATGATACCTCAAAAATGCTGGAAGCAGCTATGCGCTCCAAATTGCCTGTGCCTCTCTAAAACTGTATTAATGTTGTCACCTGATTATTTGTATTTCAGGACAGGTTTTAGCAACTCACAGCTTTCAGCCAACTGGGTGGAAACTGTGGGTAAAACTTACATGTGCAAACACCTTTGCTATGGTACCCCAGTTCAGGTTAGTCACATTTGAAGAAAGGAAATCCCCTTTTCTCAAAAGGCTAGGGATTGGATTGCTGGGATTGGTGTAGTCACTAGGAAGGTACTGCAGTCAGTACCTTCAGTAGCAAAGGTGATAAGTTTAGATCTGCAAGCTCTTGATTAATTCCTCTGATTCTGTCTGTATTTATAGACTGAAATACATTGAAAGCTCCAGCAGAGCTCTTTTCCAGATAGGTTTGCAATAGTGTAACAAATGTTTGCAGAGCATATTCTGCATTTTGCCTAGAACTCTCATATGAGGTTTTAGTTTTTATCAGAAAAAAAGTTGAAAAATGAAGGGATGATTAGGACCCATAGGAATTCAACCATGTTGTAGTCACATGGAATTTCAGCTCCAAACTCTTGGCTGAGCTTGAGTAAAATCAGAGTAGCTCTTAGACTGGGAAGGCTAAATTATAAGTGGCACTGCCACAGAAAAGCAGCTCTAACAGACTTCTGCAGAAGTCTCAGTTCTGGTATCCGCTGTGCCTACCAGAGCCCCCAAACCCATTTATCATTACAGATGGCACTTTAAAAGGCAACTGAAAGCTACCTATTCATTTCAGTGCCCTGACTGTGGCTGGAGCTACACCAGCAGTAGAAATGAACAAGCACTTTGTAGTGACTGCAAAACTGTTACTACAAGGCAAATATTAGCTTCAAAAGGAAAAGTGCTGTACTTGAAAAAGGTTCACTAACTCATTACTCCTCACAGGGAAGCTTTATCATGCTTCCAGCATGTACGCTTCAACCCCACACCCCAGGAAGCTCTCCTCTTTTGAGATTAAAAGTATTTTATTCCTTTTGTTTCTTACACTTTCCACTAATTGAAGTAATATCAGTACCAAATCATTAGACTTCCTTTTCAAGTGGATTTTAATCAAAATTCCTGGGACCAGAAATAAGGTTTTTTGATTTCAAGATTCACTTTACAATCATTTCTGGGGGTGTACTCCATTATCACTCTGCATCAGCTATGCATTCATTACTTCCCTTTGGATCAGGTGTCATTTATATTTTTCTTCTGTAGATATTTTTAGTCAGCAAAAATGATCCTGTCTTTAGTTTTACTAATTTTTGCATAAAAACTAGTCCATTTCCCTCTGTTCTGCCCTAGCATGGAATGGAAATTTCAGAAGGAAATAATACATTTATTTCGTATTAAAAAAAATGAGCCCAGGAATTTAATTTAATTAATCCTGATTTACTTAGGTACAATACAAGAACTGGAACTACTGGCTTTGCTCTTTGAATGCTTTTGCATATTTTATTATCCAAACAAAATGATTATAAAATTCTAGAAAATTACATTTTCTCTCAAGGCTCTAGGATAGAAGAAATCAGACTGAGTGCTCCTACTTGTGTCCCAGTTCTCTATGAGTTATGGAAGTGGATTGTGCTTTTGCAAACCCACTTATGAAATCCCTGAGGTTCCAAAATAAGACATATGGCAAAGGAAACGCACTTTCCCCTTGTGCAGTTTGGAACTTAGGGGTATTTCATACTGTGGTGCAATTCCTGAGAAAAGAGTGTGGTCAACATGTATTTCTGCACTGAAATCAGAAATCAAGACTGCTCTGTAAAAACTCAGCAAAGTGACCAGACAGCCACAGCTTCCTTGAGCATCCTCCCTTCTCTGCTGCTTTATATGGCCTCTCTGCCCTGAGCTGCAGCTGAAGACAAACAAAACATCAGCACTGAGAACATTCCTTTGCAGTGATTTTTAAATGTCACTCCATTGATTTTATTCTGCTGTTGCTTCTATTTTCTAACCCCCCTCGGTATGGTAGCTGATGTACAAAACATCAAGTCCCACTGTGCATCCCAAGCAATTTATATATAGTCTGAAGGAGAGAATGTTGTAAACCCACCACGTGAGTGCTGGCCAGAGCACACTCAAGTCCAGCCACATCAGCCTATCTCATGCCAGGCTGATACTGTGTTTGCAGGCAGATGATGGTCCTGGAGCTTAGCCCAAAATAGATGGACTTGATTGAGTGCTGAATATGAACCGGCTGTGAGCTGCTCTATTAAAACTCCTTCAGCTCAACAAGTGCATGTCAGGATGCATGCCCCTCTCTCTGCCATGTGACATTAAGGGTGGCAGCAAAGGCTTCATACCTGCTCTTTCCTGCTCTGATCTCATCCTAGTGCTCTAGAGACTGCCTCTGCTTATATCCACTTGGGACCATTGTTGTGCTGGCACACAAGACGTTCTTCCCAGAAACTGAACTGTGTTCTTTACATGAGGTGCTTGTCCCTCATGCTGCCGCCATCCAGGACACTCTCCTGAGTTTCATGCCATTTACTTGTTTCATGACACTGCTGGAACAACTCTGGCACCACCATGGAAGTCAGCTTCTCTTCTGTCTCCGGGAAAAATAGAAATATCTTCTTTATTCCGTGACTTAAGTTATATTTGTGCAGTAATGGAGAAAGGGACCAAGCCAACAGATTCTGTCTGTATAGGTACGATCCAGGCGTGTAAGTGACCAACATCTCCTAACTGTGGAACAGGAATTACAAAACCAGTGTAGTCTGGGGTGATTTTCTTTCCTTGCCATATAGCCCAGAATGAAAGATAAGGGAAATTCTTTTGGTTTTGTTACATCAGCACATTTGGTTTTTCTGGGTTTTCTTTTTCCATTTTATATTTTTTAAGGCCAGTTTCCTCTATGAGCTGTCTTGATAAAGCTCTGTCTTAAATTGTGTTCTACAATTATATATGCCGTTGTCTGCTTCAAGGTATGGGCCAGACAAGGTATCTTGAGTTTTGGGTGGAATCTAGGTGATATCTGGCTTAGCACAGAAGAAGTTCTATACTACTGAGTTGACTGCATTAAGTGACAAAAGATGATGATTCTGAATGAAATGTCTCACCTCTGATCTGTAAGACTGCTTAGTTAGGAATAAGGATGTATTGAGTCCTTGGCTCACTGTATTTTGGTTGTGGTGACTGAAACAGGACTCTTCTGTCCTCATGAAATGTCATAGGGTAAGAATTCATTGCATGTTTTCAAGCCTTTCCCTTCTTCTTAAAACCCATATATACAGGAGAGAATTGCACTGCTGGACAAAGCTCATCCATTTCTTGCTTCACAACTCAGCTGTGCCCCACCACTTAGTAGGAAAGAAGGAGAGCTGTCAAGGTGGAGAGGAACACAGGCTGTCTCTAAGTATTCCTTCCCCCTGCTGAAGTGAAAGACCTCAGATTTTGAAAGGACA